GTGAGGACTAGTCTCTTGTTGGGCCCTTCAGTGCAAGGAATATGGGGGGCCCCGTTATACACTAGGGGATGGCTTTAAGTGTAACAAAAAATTAAGGTATCTGACATTATTTAGGGAAAACCTAAAGACTGAGAAAGGGTCAAAAGACAGAGGGAAAAATTTAAAGTGGATAAATGGTTGTAAAAAAAATTGGGCGATCGTGACAACAGGCTTCACATAGAATACGAAAAAGTGAAGAATTAAAATTTTGTTTACATTTCATCCCCAAAAGATTTTTTTAATCACAATAAAAGCTTGTTCAGCACATGTGTCTTTTGTATTACTGCGGCAGTGCTCCCCTTTATTCCACCGAAAAAAATCGAGCAAATATACTTTGGGAGTGGTTCGCATCCAGAATATCCCAAGGGCGAATTCTGGGTTTGGAGAAACTTGGGGAGAGCCAAACACCTCTGCCCCGTCTTCACCTAGCGCCCACAGTAACCAGATAACCCAAAGGGTTAGTCAGCTGTTTTGGTCTTTCCACCTGGGAAAACCTAGAAAAACCACTAAGGAATTTAAGTTTCACACATCTTTTCTTACTCGGATTATCCCGGGTTTGTTACATCCTGGCTCACCAAACCAATATTTTTTTTATTTATTTTTACTTGTACCAGGTCCTTGGAGAAGCCACTGAGACACAATATATTACTAGTGTACTTGAGCAAGGTTCCTTGTGGAGGCAATGTGGACATGTATTAATGTACCTGTGCTAGGTTCCTGGCGGCCCAGGTACTAATGTATTGGGCCAGGTTGAAGGAACCATCAGAGCCGTGTACTGTTCACGGTAACAAAAAACTAGTACACGGCCAGATTAAGAAGTCTCCGAGCCCTAGGCTATTTCAGATTGGCGGGGACCACTTGAGTTACGGGAGTTAAGCGAAGCGACACCCCTTCCAGCTTGGGGGTGGGGGGGGGTCGGTTGTGAGCCTATTTAAGGTCATAAATTATATACATTCTGGATATTTAGATTAAAATTTAATTAGGAAAAGTACATCAAGACAACCAAAACCATTTACCAACAGCCATTGTAACATCTTGTTAAAACTAATGCATTTTAAAGATGAATAATAAAACTCAAGACCAGGCATTGTATTACTAGATTAGGCTATTACAAGTAGTGACATCATGTTACCTATTATATTCAGCATAACCACTACAGCACTATTATTCCCTTATAAATCACTGACCCCATTATTCGTTATCATTGATCATGCTTAAGACTATCAAAATCATATAAACTCAAGAAAGATAAAGAATTAGTTTTATATTCCAAAGGGGCACTTCTTAATAAATTTTTTCCGGATTGCATATTGGACAAAATCATCAACTAATTCTAAAAATCAATAATTTCATTGGTTAGTTCAGGAATCAATGGTCAACAAGGCTAGGTTACACAATTTGTCTTGGCTCATTGTTGAACGGGAGTGGTTTTTTCACTCTTTTCAAAAGCGGAAAATGAATGTTCTCCTTCACAGTTAGTAGCTGGAAGTGTTTAGGTAGAAGGCGATTACACTATGTCAACATTAGGGAAGGTTTCTGAGGATACCTGCATTTCTTAAATGTTTCATATAGCAAGCTGAGGGCGCACATTTTTCAGGTGGAGCTTTAATCTGGATTTCAATATACCCAGAAAAATGCATACTATTTCTTCAACCAAATGTGTCACGAACATCTGCTGAAAGGTTGTTGTTGCAACTTTTAATGCCAGCTTCTCTCTAATTCTCTGCATCTGGCATAGTAGTAATTTTGAACAGAAATCCAAACTTGTCATTGAAGATTCTGGAGATTTCTTTTCTTTTCACAATTCTGTAATCAGTGAATCCAGAATGACGAAGTATGTGGCTTGTCTTACATTTCTGCCTTGGTAGCAACACAATTTCATTGTCTGGCTCTTCAAAATTGCGTTTCCTCTTCCTTGACCGCTGATGATCAGCCCGGTAACTGCAGTCTTTCACCAGCAGTTTAGCTTTCTCTTCAAACATTTCAAAAGCTTCATCATTGCGAACGTGAGCTTACTCAAATTCACTAAGCCTGCACAGAGGTTAGCACAAGTAGCCATTTCAATTTCAATTTTCTGAAGTGTCTTGTTCGTGGCATTTAACCGTTCCAGTATACAGTTCCAATTTTGATGCTAAGCTGGCTGCTTCGCTCCTTGTAGTTGCTGTCTGGTCTTCATCCTCTGCTATTTGGATCAAAGCAGAACGTATTTCAGCAAAGCTGTCTTTCAATGCATGTGTTGCATCATGCTGCGCTGACCACCTTGTTGTTGATAATGATTTGATGACATCTTCATGAATGGTTGACTTGAGTATACTCCACCGATGCGTTGAAGCAGAGAAAAAATTTAAGTGCTTGTAAAAGTCCAAAAAATGAAACTGCAACGACACAACACTCCGCAGCACATGACCCAACAAGATTAAGAGAATGTGATGAGCAGGGCACATTTCAGCCAAGTGGTTGATTTGCTTGATACGGGCTTGCAATCCATTATATTTACTGACATGTTACTTGCATTGTCGTAGCTATGGCCACGGCAATCCATATAGAGGTCATGTTCAAGCAGAGTATCCAGTACTACATTCATCATGTTTTTCCATCTGGCCCTGAAAGAGGTATGATTTTATAAAGCGCTTACAGGTTACCCAATGGAGTCGACAAAGCGAAACAATGAATGTCAATTGATCTGTATGTGAAATATCTGGTGTTGGATTCTACAATTTATTTGAAAAGTATTTGCAGTTATCAACAGCTGCTATGATGTTATGAGGATCTTCTTAGTCATCAGTTCAATAAATTCAATTGCCATATAGTTGAGACATGTAAAGATACAGTGCCACCTGCATTCCCAAGGGCCCGTGATACATGATTTGCTAAGAAGGATCGAATTGTGCTTAACAGTTCTATGTTCCTAGGAAAATTGCCATTGTCTTTTAACGGAACCAAAACCTCATTTTCTCCACGAGGAAAGCAAAAGTCCCTCTTAGGCTAGAATTTTACAACCAGCAACAACTCTTTCTAGAACTTTTCTCCCAATAAAGGGCGCTCTTTTTCAGTTTGATTTTCAATTGAGAATCAATAAGCCTTTTTTCTGTGCCACGAAATACACTGCTAAATGCAGCTCCGTGAGTGGGTGCTGTTTTCCATGTTCCTCGATACGCTTGGAATTTTTCCAGTCATTGATCCCCTGTGTGAAGGTATTTTCTTGGTAGAAATAGCTGATGCTGAACAGTACACTTTTCCTGAGCTTCGAGTATACCATCCATGATCTTTTCACAGTTTCTGAATTTGCAAGGCTTCCTATAAAACTAGATGACTTCTTAAACAACGACCAAACTTCCATTCATCATAAATCCTTGCTGATTTCCTAAGTAATGTTCCAGAGTTTTTGACTGAAAGTTTTCTGCAAATGATGCCATTAGTAGAGAATTTGGGATTTACATTTGGCCATGAGGATGGATCTTTTAAGACAAATCCTGGTGGATGAAATGTCCGTGAGAATTGAGAGGAGGACAAAAGAAGTAGATGCTGGTGAGAAATTAATGGAGGGAGGGCTTCTTGTATGAGTTGACGTATCTAGCAGATTCAAACTGTACTGGTAACATCATGAAAACTGTTTTCGTGGCATGTCTGTGATCTTTCTGCAGCTTCCTACATCTTTCTTTTTGTTTTTCTTCTTTCTTTTCAGTGACCCACCACGCATAAGAAACGTCCATCATCACGTTCCGAGATGCATAATGAGGATGTGTATCACTGTCTGTATCATGCAAATACGAATTTTTCATTATAATTAATATTATATTTTTTTTATTAAATTTTTTTTTCTGTCAATTGGGGGATATGGCCCTTTGTAGCCCCCTTTCCTCTGGCCTGCGATCTAAAAATTCCAAAACGTTACCAGAAAGGGAGTCATATACAGACTTTTACATTAGATTAGGTTATAGTGATTTGGGCTACGAATATTTTACTAATTATCCTCCTTGATATCAATTTACTTAAACAGAAATCATTACTGAGTCCAGAACAATGTCACCAGTGGTATTTATATTAACCATTTTCATAAAACTAAACTAATCATTATGTTTGCATGATATATGCGTCTTCACCAATAGATAAGGACATGAGAATTACAGAATGCCAGGTCAAATTTTCAGTTTCACCCAACCAACGATTTTCTGATGTGGCTATGTGTTTATGGGGAAATATGTATAGTAAATTAATTGTGTTCTACATCATTTCCGTCGCACTTGAAAACTAAGCTTTTGCGACGGAAGTAACTGTCAGAACATCAATCAATTGAGATCTGTTATTGAAATGATTAAAGACTAAAGACAGGTCAAAAGAATGCTTTTAAACCTAACAACGGAAGTCAGTTTGCGTTTTTAGGTTTTTCTTTATAGTATTTTTACCAAAAATGATGTTCTTTACTGGTCCATGTTACGTTCTTTACTGGTCAAGAAACCCTATCAGGTACCTCCCTAAACATTTAGTAGGGAAAACAAAATTTATCCATACACATCAATGTCTATCAACAACACTTCAGGTTATTTGTCACAGGTACAAAGTGCTAGATAACGTGTAATTATACAGGAAAATTGGAGAGGAATCTCCATACTCACCCATTAGCGGGAAAACACGTGTTTGATGTAAACAAAGGCCCGAGTGTTGAGTGTTGCCATCTATGGTTAGGTTTATTTATTTTTATTTTATTTTATTTCATTATTTTTGTTTTGATCAATTTTTAAAAATCAATTTTACTCTCCAAACACTTGAACTTTTTAGGTAGGGACCCCTTTGCACTTGCACCATGTGCGCAGTCTTGGATGAGCCCCTGAACCCCTTGGACCGCGGGGACCCCAAATGCGCGGGGCCCTAGGCAAATGCCTAGTTTGCCTATGCGGTAATCCAGCCCTGTGTACCTAGGCCAAGTACTGAAGGAACCATCAAAATGTGTACTAGTATACCTGAGCCAGGTCCTGGTGGAGCCACTCCAGCAGCAGGGACAGGTAATCATGAGCCTCCTTCTGCATGTTGTCCAGGAAGATAGTGTCCCTGGAAGCAGCCACCTCCTGCCAGTAAAAACACGAAGCTGATAACTCAAGTATTCTTGCATTATATGCAAGTTTCGTTCTTTTCAGGCAGGGTTCTCAATCCTAGTATATAAAACAACGATTATTATTATTATTATTATTATTATTATTATTATTATTATTATTAAGCATTACATCAGTATGTAATACAGCGCCTGGACAATGGAAGGGTAACTTAAAAAAAAATATCCCCCACCCAAAAAAAAAAAAAACCCGAGTGATTATTTGGTGTGGGCAACAACTCCAACAAAAGCAAAAACGAAATTATAGGCCTCATTTATTTTAAATAGGTTTCACTAAGTTTAGGCTAACTTACTATGCATTATGTAGGATTAGTTTTAATTACGTTGCGTTAATTTTAGCAAACTCACGTGCGGTTTATTGATTGCTTTTACTGAACTATAATTATGCAACTTCTCGAATAACTTTCGTAGTGGGTTTATTAAAAAAAAAAAACTGATAAGTATACGATTTACGTTTCGTGATAGATTTAGGTTAGGTTAGGTAAGTTTGTTAAGTTAGGTTAGGTAAGTTTGTTAGGTTAGGTAAGTTTGTTAGGAAACATAACAAGTGTTTCCTGAACCGCAGCTGGAGCTTCTGGTCATCTGAACGAGACCTTCAGCTGGCTTATAGGTTCACCACCCCTTTAAAAAATATTGTAATTTAGCGATAAAAGTTATATAAGATAAAGACATGTATTTAATCAAAGATTAGAATAAAATATGTAAATATTTAAAAATAAATATTAAAAATTAATGCTTATACCAATATAATTAAAATATATACTTATGTAGATTTTAAAACATTGAAATAAGTTAATTTTACTAACGAAAGATTTTAACAAGTGGCTCAAGCGGTGGAGCCTTTTTCAGTTTGTCTTATGGACTTGGGTTCGAACCCCAGTAGTAATAAAAACGTTGATCATATTTCCCAGGAGTTATTTACCTTATATTAAGTAAGGTCAATGTTTATTATTCAAACCATAAATATAGCATGTTAACGTCCACACTAATCAAAATTATTCATTAAGTAATGCACTATATTTTACCTTCATGGTAATGAGAAGATTGTTGGTTTTCTTGTCAGACGACATCGCTTCAATAAGTGTCTTGTAGGCTCCAGCTACCTGCCCATTAACCATCCTGTGAAAGTATGTGTGTGTGTATATATATTATATATATATATATATATATATATATATATATATATATATATATATTATATATATATAATATATATATTATATATATATATATATATATATATATATTATATAGGGAGAGAGAGAGCTGATGTAGGTAACAGCTCTTAGCTTGTCAATAAAACTAGGGATCCTTAACATTGTCAAACCCTGTGTAAAAAAAAAAAAAAGAGGTGGGAAGGGAAGGGATTCTATAACTAACACTTCAGAATTAGAACATTCAGTGCAGCATCTAAACAGATCATCGGTATTGATGTCATTAAAACTAAGCAATTACTTCACTGCTGATATACTCGTAGTTACTTGGAAGGTGCCATGATGTGACGTGTGAGAGGGTGGGTGTGGTACAGGCACTGCAACACACTGTTCATATAGCAGGTGTTGCCTAAGTTAGGAAGTCCCACACGAGTCAGCACCTGTTGACAGATGTGAATGTGGTGTCAACGTTACTCGAAATGACACTGAATGAGGACATAACTGTGGTGTACGTATATGTATATATGTATGCATACATACATACAAATACATGTACACACACATATATTACCTTTACACTTGAACAGTTTATTTCGTTTTGCTTCTCAAGATACCAAAGGTGCCTTGCCAGTCGAAGGAAACCTTGATTGTCAATTTGCTTCCTTGGTGAGGTGTATGATAGACAGTAGGTACGTATAATGTTTGCCAGGAAACAACAACAGTTTCCTGACGCGGGTCTTACTTATATGATGACCCAGAGCTGAAGCTTTTGGTCATCTGACCGAGGACTTCCGCTGGCTTACCGATCCACCTCTTCAAAAATCATGGTTATGATTACAACCATTTATTATTAATATGACGGAGAGAGCAAATAACAGCTCCATAGATATTTACCAAATTCTCAAGATACGCTAATTTTGTGTGCCAATTTCTTTTACTAAAATTTATAGAAAACAAAATAATTTTATTTAGCTAACCTCTTTAAGAATACGCATAGTTTTATTTTACTGTTTTAACTGAGGAGACAAATATGCTGGTGCGCCTAAATAATATCACAAAGGACACTTGAGTGTTCGGTTAATGGGGCTTAAAGCCAAGAGACTATACAAATGGTCATTAAGGCTTCATGTAACCTGTTCGCAATTAGTCAAGAATTCTTTAATCCATAAAATATGGACAAACGTAACTTTCAGTTCATGCACACTGAAGGAGATACATCTCTAGGACCTAAATAATACATCTGAGAATTATTAGGCTCTTAATTATACTATACAACAAACTTGTGGCCTGGAACCTGAGAAGCGATGAAATTAATGTATAAATGAACTCCAGGGGTTAATACAAAGATTCTTACAGTACAGAAAGTTTTAAGATATTAAACTAATCCAGTCATAACCCAATACAACTCTCTTTAAGAGAACATTGTCTTAGTGAATACTGGCTCTTCTCTAGTTTCTTTATTCATATTTGTCATGGACCGGGCAGTGGGGGCGTTGACTCCTGGAACACCCTCCTGCCTTCCGACTATTCGATCCCAAATGAATTCAGGAAAGGGGTTAAATCCCTTAAAATTTTTTTTTTTATATTTTATTTAAAAACACAGGATACAGTAGACATGTATATCACACAATTGACGTGATCACAAAACATGAAACATTTACAAAGAAAACAAAAATTCCTTATAATTAACAAAATTAACAAATACCATACATCAAAAATTACTACTATCCTACCCTACTTACGTGCCCTTAACTCATATGACTGTATATACAAAACTTTCTATGTGCACTAATGCTTTGGCCTCTCAATTTATATTGTAATATTAGCATTTAATACACCAAAACATTCTGTAGCTATTCATCCCCGAATTTTTGTATTTTGTATTTATAACCCCTCAGTATACAATATACTTGTATATCATACACGAGTGACTCAAATCACAAAATATGAAGACATATATAAGTGCTACAACGTCCGCATCACGAACAAAAAACCTCTACAAAACTTTTTTTTTTTAAACAGTCTAAAAGATAAAATAAAAATTAATTAATTAGCTCCTAATCCTTCATATAATTATAATCTCATTGCCGAGAGACTCACCGCACTTACAACTTCGTGCAGGCGCATGCTACCCCCCCCCCTCCCTTCCTTTTTCCTTTTATCTCTCACCACCTATCCTAATTACAGGGTTACACAGGTTTATACTGTACGTCCATCAAAAACATTATACATTAATATGTCAGCAAGTGTACATGGCCCTGGGTCCCACGTAGGACATCAATACCATTGCCAGTACAGAATACAATGATTTAATACTGAACATTATCATGGGAATAAAAATTCATCATGCACATACAATAGTCATATAATTAAAATATTGACATACAGGTTCATACATGTTCCGTCCTTATTTTTTCCGCAATAACACTAAATAACAAAACCGGTTGACGAATCTTACTCAATCCCCATTATGGACATCGCACAATAAAATTGCCACTCCTAACCAATACCTCACAATTCATCATAATATTCATATGTCATTACAACGCACACATATACATGGTTAAGTACACTAGAGAAAGATGCCATTTATGTGATCATAAAATTGACGAAGCCTGACACTACAAAGATCATGAATTCATAAATAAACACAGCTAACCTAAGCGACAATTCAAATTTTGTTGACAGCAATGAAATGTACCTGGGTTAACTGCAACCCAAAACTGTAGTTAACACCGGATTCCTGTTGTTAACCAACCACTAACTTTTAATGTACCTGGGTTAAATGCAACCCAAAACTGTAGTTAACACCGGATTCCTGTTGTTAACCAACCACTAACTTTTATACCGAAAAGCAGAAAATTTTCTACCACAAAGCAACTATGCAGGGTCACAGCACCTCACTAACATAAGTTGAACAACGATCAAGTTTAACTTGGGTGCAAAATTAAGATCATTCTGCGCTAAACCCGACATCCCAAGATTTAGTTATCATGGTTTAAAGATTATCCTGTATGCAGTGAACATAACCATAGGTTTCCAAATTCATCATGCATCTCCTTCCCACTCCATTCATAGCCTCCCACATCCACACAACAAAGGGCCTAAACCAACCTACCCTCATGCATCCCCCGGTAGGAGACCAACCCTTTGCCCGCCCCCTGGGTTCATGAGGAGGAGGCGGCCCCCCACGGTGAGATTCCGGTAACCCTCAGAAAAGCTAATTACCCACCGCCCCCCATAGACTTGCCTATTCCTACTCATCGTTCTATAAAATCTCGCTGCTAATGCTTTTATTCTCAACTCTCCCCGAACCTCCCTCATCCCCCAAGATACATGTAAATAATCCGTCATGACATACATTAAAGCCCAACCCACATCACCCGGCACCCCAGTTACATCCAACATTAAAGCCCTTAGGAATGGCCATTCTTCCCCCCCAAAAGTCTGATAACGCTCACCATCCATAACCTCACCCCCTCCAAAGAGGGACAAAAAAAATACCGCATGAAAAGCCGTTTCGGTGTCCCCACAGTGCAAGCATGAGTCCTCTCTTACAAGACCCATTTTACACAACACATCCCTAGAGGCCAAAATTCCCATTAGAAAACGATATACTAACTCCCGTACCCCCGCTGGTATTCTAAGCAAGCCAAACTTCCTCCAAATGCTCATCTTGGATATACAGCAAACCCTTGTAAGACACCCGTACCCACCACAGCACCCACCATCCGTTTGACCTTTAATTTGGACACCTGTTCTACATTCAGTAAAACCCTCAACATGTCTTCACAATACCTCAAATCCTTTTCACACCACCATCTTCGTGCATCCTCCATTACCCTACCTACCCTGACTCCCCGGTTCCCCCCAGTCCGGATATATCTTTGTTTAATATATAAAGCCATTACTCTATGACCCAATGCCATCAGGCCAAGACCCCCACGTCTCACATCCGTCATCACCACGTCCTTGCGCAACCATGCCCTCCCAAACCCCCACACATACCTTAGAACCTTCCTCTGGATTTCCGCAATATCCTGTGCTCTTAAAGGGAACACCTCAGCCACTCCCCACACTTACTGTAAACCAGAGAGTTGACCACTAAAACTCTCTGCTGTAATGTTACGTCCCTAGCCCTTAAGCCTCCAAAGCCTACCCAAAACCTGCTCGTAACTAATTCCGAATTTATCTTCCTACTATCCTGCACTTCTGCCATGTAACATACTCACAAACCCTAATTCTGTCCACTACTGACCATCCCAACCCTCCCCCAAGCTCCCACCTATCCAATCCCCCACCTCTAATAGTCTCGACTTCATTAAATTAACTCTCATACCCGTAGCGTCCCGAAATATCTGAATGACTCCATCAACTTTCCTTAGATCTTCCTCATGCATTACCAGAACTGTAGTATCATCTACATACCAACAATACACCCCCGCCACCCCCCATTATCCCCTGTCCATTCATCACCTCATCCACTAGCCCATAAAAATGGATTCTGTACGCAGGCAACAATAACTGAGAGAGTGGACAACCCTACCTCAAACCTCTCTCCATCAGTACTGGGTCCCCCAACTTACCATTAACCTGTACCCTAATAACCGCTCCCTCATACAAGGTTTGCACCCATCTCACCACTCTCCCCCCCCAAACCCAACTTTTCCAAACAAACTTTTAGGAAATCCCTATTCACACACTCATACGCATTAGCCCAATCTAAACCGAGTATTCCCCCTCCGGTGCAGCTCTCAATAAAATCCCTTATGTGACTATGCCGTCCCTCATACTTCTTTCCGGGATGCCAAACTGTCCCCATGTATCACTGATCTAGAACCTTCTTCAGTCTATGCCCAGAATTTTAGCATAAATTTTATAATCTGCACACATTAAGGATATCGCTCTATAATCACTAGTACTTTCCCTTCCTTCTTCTTCGGCACCAACAAACGATCCCGGTTTTCTGTGTCTTCCCCATCTCCCACTGCTCCACATATAATTCAAGACCTCCACTAAACCATACCTAATGCATTCCCAATAAACTCTATAAAAATCATTCGGTATTCCATCAATGCCCGGCGTTTTACCCTGACTCATCCCGTAAACCGCCTCCCCCACCTCCTCCTCACTAATACTACCCTCCAGCATTTCCTGTTCCTGTTGTCCCAATACAATAGTATTCTGCATAACCCCAAATACCTCCTCACTGGCAACTTCCTTGTTCCTCCTCCATTTCTCCCGAAACCAATAATCAGCATAAACGCTAATGTCATCCGTATCGGTAAGGCCTTGACCCACCACATAACCCCCCCCCCATCAGCGACCACTAGATGTGCTATGGTAGTCACCATCTGCCTTTCCCTAAATTTTCTCAGTACATAACCTGATGGTCGATCACCCTTTAACACCTCTAACCCTGCCCTAACTCTAATCGCGT